CCATCTAGGCCACAGAGCATCCCTTTCCTCAAAACGTGAGTTTCTTGGTGCTTCATTCGGATCCCTTGGGTGTGGGAGAGGCTTCTCACTGAGGGGTTTGTACAAAGCCTGGTATATACAGCTAGAATTCTTGAAAGGGAAGCCCCCCAGGATGAGGTTGCCACAAAGAATGGTCCGCTAAGGGCTACTTAAACATTACATATCTTTCATTTTCTTAATTACAGGGAAGTGGTGGTTCAGTGGTACAATTTTCATCTCTGTGGGAGAGTTAAGGAGCCCTGGTGGCACAGTGGTTACTTGTTGGGGCTGTGATCTTCAAGGTCAGCAGTTAAAAGCCCCCAGCTGCCCAGTGGAAGAATGGTGAGGCGCTACTCCTGTAAAGAGCTACACAGAAGCAGTTCTACCCTGCCCTCTAGGGTTGCCATGAGCTGGAATCCACTCAACGGTCATGAGAATTTTTAATGTGTGAAATCTAGGTGGGATTCCAGGCCAGTGCACGCTATGGGCAGCCAGCATCTGTGAATGCACTGACGTTGGCACATGGATGCTGATGCTGGTCAGGTTTCAGTGGGGCTTCGGAACTAAGACGGGCTGAGGAAGTCCCGCCTAGTGATCTACTTCGGAAAATCGGTCAAAGAAACCCCTAAGGAACGCAAGGGCACGAGACTGACCGAACTTTTGTTCTGATGTGCATTGATTCCCCAGGAGTTGGAGATGGCTAACAGCCACACACTTTCAACTGACTTGCGGTCAAGGATGAAATCAGCAAAGGTGCGGATGACATGAGCCCAACACATAGGGGTGGCTTCAACTCCTCAGCACATTGGCAAGCTGAGCAGCCACCAGAAGCGGAGCTGGGCTGAGCCTCAAATGCATGCCGCCTGCGTTTCTTTTCACAGTGCTCTTCAGCCAGTAGTAATCACATCTTTCTGGGGAGTGTTCTCAAATGTGATAGAAAGGGTGGGGGCCTGGCTGGCGTTCTTTGTAAACGTTCTCCTGCTCGTTCTGATGGGAGCACAGACATGGTGTTACAAACAACCTAAAACCACAGTGGACTCAGTGATTCCCTTCTGGTGTAGAAGAGTCAGGGGCGCAGCGTCTTTGTGCTATTCAGGAGACTCTAGGAGTCATAACCAAGCACCAGCGCATGGGACTGTCACCTACCGCTCAGGTTACGCTGGGCTCAAACCTGATGCCAGTCAGATCGATCATGGGAGAACAGGATGAGGATGTGCACAAGGGAACTCTGTAGACAATGGAATTAGAATCTAATGGAATTTTTCTGTGAATGTTGTTAAGTTCCTTGTTTAAAAGAAACAGGATACAAAGTAAACAGCCTGACGCAGAGGCAGACACTCTTGGTACCCATTACCTCTTGGTTCTATGCCAGTCTGATCGCTCAACGGCGCCCCGAGTGCTTCATGCACTTCCTGCTCTTCTGAAGCTTCACATCTCTGAAGTCACCAAGCCGGTTGGCTCCGTGTGGGCAAACCAAACAACCTCAAGTGTGGAGTAAACAGTGGCAGCTGGAACAGGTGGTCAACGCCCTCACCTCCTGTGGGCATTGCTGGAACTGAAAGTGGAGCTCTCTAAGCTCGTAACAGTATGTAAAGTTCAGTGTATGTTAAAAGAGAATGTAGAAGACTACAAAGGGGCGTTAGCTTTCATCAGATACCCAGGAAGCCGGTGTCCAAGGCCGCCACCACCAGCAGAGAGAAACATGGAAGGAAGACGGAGTGTTCAAGTAAGAAGTGATTACGGAATCGGATGGCAATACATTTCTGGATGGCGGGCAATTACAAATGCTGCGGGTTTCAAAAAGTTGAAAAATTCTGTTATCTTTTCACTTCATTTTTCCATCAACTTTTTGAAGTCCCTTGTAATTTCTAAATGCCAGTAAGAACGATTATTTAAAAATCAAAGTACCCTAAATATCTTGCAAAAGAAAACAGATTAAGAAATAATCATGGTTCATATACTGCCATCAAAAATATTTCAAAGCATTTTAAATGGGACTGAAAAATATATCATAATTGGAGTGAAAACAACAACAAACCAAGTATGAGATGCTATATAACATCTATGATCTGAACAATGTAAATAAAACATGAATAGGAAAAATAATACAAACCAAATGTTCACAGTGGTTATGAATAATTTTTCTCCATTTTTAATAATTTTTCAAAACAATCCTTAATGACCAGATATTGCTAAAGAGTCAGAGCACTGAGGTCCTGAATTTTTTTAATCTGAAAAGCAGAGTGTGGATTTGTAACTTTAACATCAGTCTTTTCTGAGTAAACAGGTCTGACTTTTCTCAGTAAAATACCCAAAGAGTTGGTTTTGTCTACATGGAAGTGTTTGTTTGTGCACATATCCCACGGCAGAACTGCCGGACCTGCTCCATCTTCACAGCTGTTGCTGTTTCAGCCCACCCTGTAGCCACAGTGCCAATCCAAGTGTGTGACGGTCTTTTTTCATTCCCAAGATTTTTTGATGGCGATGAACCTTGCTCAGCTGGTCACAATGCTAGCTGGGTCAAATCCTCTGTGGGCCCCCTGTGCTTTCTCATTTCTAGACCACAAGCAACCCCTAGCCTAGGTGACCCCAAACTCTGCATGCAGGAAGGGCAAAGCCATCACTAACACATGGCACACCACCACAGAAGGGCAGAAGCAACCTGTTGCTTTACTGTTGTACATACAAACTACTGTGTAGACATGTTTTATTTGGAATAAACCCGTGCATGTATGCACTGAGACCCTAAGAGCAATACTTCCTGACTTATCCGCTTACTCTATTGAAGTCTAGGACAGCACCCTGTCACCAAACACATTAAAATTTCTGCAGATGAAGTATAAATGACTTTCTATCAGTTCAGACCAGGCACTGATGCTCAAGTTTATAGCGTCCTGAATTTTGGAACTACGTATAAACAAGTCACTCACTCACTGCTGTGGAATTGATTGTGACTTACAGAGACTCTATAGAACAGGGTAGAACTGTCTCTGTGAGTTTCCCAGACTAACTCCTTTTAGGAGTAGAAAGCCTCATCTTTTTCCCATAGAATTTAGTGGGTTTCCAATTGGTGACCTGTGGTTAGCAGCTGAACATGTAACCACTGTGCCACCAGAGCTCCCGGATGAACAATGAGACTCGCATTAAGTCCAGCAGAGACAATGGTTGAAGCACTTAGCATAGGACTAGAGACTAGACAGGTTAGGTGATTCCCTTGGTTTTCTAGGTGGACAGCTTAACCAGCACTTCTTTCAATACCTCCTAATTTACTTTTTATGGTAACTGTTAATTTTAGATTTTCCATTTGCAATTTGTGTGGTATGCTGTCAAAACATATTAGATTTTTTAAGGTAGATGAAAATATCCAAAAAGTTCCACATGCATAAATATCTAGTTATAATCCTCTGCAAATACTTGCCTGCATTCTTCTATTTCTTGGTAGTTTATCTCATAGATACCCTTTGGGTAAAGGATTTTTAGATTTCTTCATCATTATTCAATCTAGGTTTGTGTTAAACACAAACATAATTTTGAGTATTTTGTTTACCCCCTTTTCTGTTTGAAGTATAAATAGCAATTTAAAACACTATTCAAAATGGGTTTATATATAATACTTAATTCATCTAGATTTTGTATTGCAATGAAAATGATGTAAAATTTTCTAATAAATTAAGACTTGTTTTTTTATCCCCAAAAGGTTATCTTCTTACCACCTTTTCACCCTCCCACAAGTTACCTGCTAGTCTCTCCTGCATGAATCCGGAAGGCTCGGTAAAGACTCTAAGGACATCAAAGTTGTTAGGGGAGTAAAAGGCCCCACTTTCAAAATGATGGCAGCATCATTATAGAGCCTAATGGATTTGTTGCATGGGTCTTCCAGAGCAGCAACCCCTGAGCAAAGAACCCCCCCTTCCCTGCTAGGAACCCTTACAACTTATGACTCAGCTCTGAAGAGGATGCGGTTGATGACATTTCCTGCTTCTAGAGGTCACATGGCCTCCCTGGACGGTGGGCCTGGTGGCTGTGGAACTAGGAGCAGCTCTGACTCCAGGCATTGCTATGAGAACAGCAGCCACTCACCTGTGTGTGAGGCATGTCAACAGCCTGGGTCTCACCCAGCACAAATGAGGACATGAAATTTGTCCACCTTGGATGCTCCCACATATTTGTATCATCTGTCACATTATAGGTTCAGGCCACTGAGGAGATCTAAATTCTAAAAATTAAATCTAAAACTTAAAAACAAAACCACCTTAAAAAATAATTGATAATTCTGTACATACTATTTAATTTTTTCCTTTAATCTGATGTTATCCATACACTTTCCATCAAGCCAATTACTTTAAGATTAATATAAATACTTAATTTTAAGGCAGCATGGAAATTACAAATAGTCTACAACTTTTAGGCCCTTTTGTTTCCTGAAAATTACAATTTCTCTTCATAAAACTATCGCTTCAACAAAATAATTTACAAATTATCAAGGGTTCATGAGGGAGGGGGAACAGGGAGGGAAGGGGAAAAATGAGCAGCTGATATTGGAGAGCAAATATTTTGAGAATGATGAGGGCAATGAATGTAAAATGTGGTCGACACGATGTATATATAGATTGTGATAAAGAGTTGTATTGAGTTCCCAATAAAATGATTTAAAAATTAAAAAAATATTGCTTCTTGGTTGAGTTCACATTAGTGTATTACAAGGGGGAAGAAAATGGGACATTTTCATGAACACTTTGAAGCCCCCTCATATCTGAACATCCTTCATCCTGTATGCCAACTTACAAAAAAGGAGAGCTTTATTTGGCTATTTGCTAATTACGCCACCTAGCCAGACTTTGAATTTCGGTTGTTAGAGTTCCTGAAGCCAAGGAACTCTGTATATCTCTGTATACACATGAATAGGTTTTAATTTCAGGATAGCAAGCATTTAAGTTTCCTTACTGCTAAAAAGTACAGGTAAACAACAAGACAGGCTACCATTATTTTCCAAAAGCATTGTTTTTATTTATACAGAGTCCTAACCACTTAAGGAGTAGGCGGAGTGGAAGAGGTTCAACCCAGGGCCTCCACAATGTTGGTTTGTTTATAGCAAACAACAGTGGAAAGCGGTATCATGGATTTAGTAACCTATTATGTCTAGTCCCTCTCCGCAAGAGCAACAAGGTGGGTGTCAATTTCTGCTTCTGTAAGAATCCTAGAAAGGCAAAAGAAGAAACTATTTTTTAAACAAAAACATTTACTTCTTTGATATTAGATCCAGAATTTAAGTTTTCTGAAAAAAAACAAGCACACAAAAACCCTCCAGTTGCAGCTAAGATAGAAACTATTTAGCCCAAATAATAAGCCTAGTATATAAAATGTGTTCCATTTTAGAACCTATGTCAAAATGCTTTTATACCTAGTATGACTTCAGTCTGTATAAGCTAAGAAAATCCACTGGGGAATTTAAGTATATATTTTTTTAAAGGAAGAAGCTGCCCAGATTTAGCAATAGAAATTCATGAACATAAAATTAAAATTCTTTAACTAGTCCAGTGGCAAAAGGCACTCCATGATGAACACATGCTATTTTCTAAAAGTTTGCCTAGAAAGGAACCAAGTGCTTGGCGATCTTGTTATTGGGACCTATTGTCACCTGACACTTAAAGTGAAATTTGCCCACAAGGAGTTCTTCTAGTGCAACCAGAAGTACTGTAAGTCATTTATATAGATGTTAAACGCTTACGCAAGATAATCTAGTGCTTTTGGGAAATAGGATCTTAGTGTCTACCCATGTATTTAAGTAACCAATGAAAATAAAAATGTTTAGGTACCATAGGCGGCCTCCGGGAGACCTGGTAGAACTGCGGGGTAAGCAGCTGGCTGCTAACCATAATCCCAATGGCTCAAACCTACTAGTCACTCCTGGAAGTTTGAGGCTAGTTTTCTTTGTTCAGAAATGCCTTAGAAAGGTTTAGACTCAAGCTCAGAAACCTGAAGGCGTTCCACTCTGTCCTATTTAGGGTTGCTGTGAGCTGGAATAGACTTAATGGCAGTGGGCTTGGTTTTTACAGGAGGGTCTCACGCCCTGGTGGCATCGTGGTTACGCACTGGGTTGCTAACCACAAGGTCAGAAGTTTGAAACCATTAGTCACTCCGGAAACCCACAGCGGCAATTCTACCCCGCTCTACGGAGTCTCTATGAGTTGGAATTGACTCAGTGGTAGTGTATGGTTTGGTTTTCAGACTAGAAAACAAAAACTATTTTCCAGTAGCTTAGAGATTTTCAAACCGTTCCCGGTGAAATTCTATTGCTAAATAGAAAAGGAAAAAAAACGGGGGAGGGGAAGGAGAGGTGGGTGATGGCCAGCCTTTTCCTATGGGAAAACAGCCAGGAAGAGTGGATTGAGTTCTGGTTGCCATTTCTTAAAGACTTAAGATGTCTTTTAAGTCTTTTGTGTTTATTTATGACTCAACCAGCAGATAACAAAAGAACTAGGAAAAAATACGTATTTTAAAAAAGTCTCAAAGTTTGGTTAAACTTAGCTTGCCACCTTTCCCCCCTCAACCATGCCCCTGTGTCTGTCCTTATGGTTTTAAGAACAGAACACAGAGTAATTAAAATGCCAGCACCTGTGGATTTAATGGACTACTATTTCCCAGAGCCTGGCGGTCCATGATATATACCTGATTTCATAGGGCTGCTAGAAGGACGGAATCAGCTGATATACATGAAGCACCCAGTGTGGACTTGACTCACAGAAGCTGTAAGGCTGGTGTGTGGGTTTGTCTCTCAGTGAGTAAGCTCCATTAGTGATATTCAAAATTTGGGGTTTCCCAAAGATCTCCAGATAAAGGTCTGATGTATACCAGTATTTCATATCATTCGTCAAAGCTCCACTAACGTTCTACCTGAAAAACTTGAAAAGTGACTACTTTGGGATTTGAGTTACTACTGATCTTAAAATTGAAATAACTTATGCTTTCTTTACAGCTATTTTAATGTCACTCTTTGTGATAAATAAAAAGCACTCTAAAATGAGAAAAAAACTGTTATGTATGTCTCAAAGCAGTGGTTCTCAACCTTCCTAGTGCCGCGACCCTTTAATATAGTTCCTCATGTTGTGGTGATTCCCACCCATAAAATTATTTTTGTTGCTACTTCTAACTAATTTTGCTAATGTTATCAATTGGGCGACCCCTGTGAAAGAGTCATTTGACCCTCAAAGGGGTTGCAACCCACAGGTTTAGAACCGCTGTCTTAAAGAGATATTCAATATATTCCAAGTTTTCTTTTCAAACAAACCTATAATCATAATTTAAGAATATTTTTCAAATAGGGCGGATGGACCCCTCTCACCACGTTCATCATCTAGAACTTTAGCATTTGCAAACTGCTATAAGTTCACAGCTGACGATATGACTCACCTGAACTTAGGATTTTCAACAGTAACCACTCCAACTTCAATTTCTGAAGGTTTGAAGTCGATTGACAGCACAGTAGACAGACATGTAATTGCAGTCTGAAAAAAATCACATTAGGATATAGTATTTTTCAGAGATTCCCAGACTTCTCATTCCTTTTAAGTTTATTTAAATCATAAATGTTAATCAGAAGTGATTCATTTTTGCTTCATGTTTCAGCGCTGCACTTCTACAGCTATGTTGTTATTACTAGACTGCCAAGGAAACGAAACTCGCTCCTACCATGTCAAATTAAACAAAATGGATGAGTTTTCAAACCAAATGGATGGCTTATACAAAACAGCTTGCTTGATGATCAATATTTCGTGGGCCTAGACCAGGGGTCCTCAAACTTTTTAAACAGGGGGCCAGTTCACTGTCCCTCAGACCCATTGGAGGGCTGGACTATAGTTAAAAAAAAAAAAACTATGAACAAATTCCTATGCACACTGCACATATCTTATTTTGAAGTAAAAAAACCCAAACGGGGCAAAAACACCTGGCGGGCCCGGATAAATGTCCTCAGCGGGCCGCAGTTTGAGGACGCCTGGCCTAGACAATCCCGGCACTTCAGGTGGACAGCAAGTGAGGGGAGAGGACAGGACAAATATGAATCTCTGCCTTCAGGGAACTTTCAATATGAGCAATCCGAGAATGTTTTAAGTGATTACTATCTAATGATATGTGCCAATTATGAACTGAAATTATTATGAAGACAAAAAATCTTGGGAGAGTACCTTCCAGATGAGAACTCGCTTTATATCTCCTACAAGATGTTAAGAGGAAGCTTCATAAAGCTCATGGAAAAATTCCATTAACTTTTCATTCTAGTTCAAATAAACTTCTTCAAACCAAGTCATAATGCCAATCAATCACAAAAGGAATGTTCCCTGTCAAAAGCATGCTGGTAAACCATCAGAATGGCTGTATCCCAGACCTTTATGTTCAAATTATTAAAATTCCATTTTAATATATTGTCAATAAGAGGCAAAGTAACTATTTTTATTTAGCTTTCCTTTTAGTATAAAAGTTCCCAACAATAATGACTAATACCCTCAAGATCTCTGCACAAAGCCACCTTATTAAATCTCGACCAAGAAGCCGAAGGCAACCACAGCAACACCGGTCTTGGCACCTGCTCTTGAGATTCCTATTCCTAATTGCATTTTACCATTTGCTGATGGCTACTTCAAATATAGTAGGAAATAAGTGAATAATCTAGTCACTACTGGCCCCATTCCAGCTGAAGGACATTGATTTTACTGTTCAGTTCACATTACCTAGGAAAGGCCTTTATAAAGTCAATTATGCAAAAATCCTCAATATTCTATATACATAACATAAAAACATCAGTTGCTTTTTGCCAACTTACTTCAACTGTCTGTTCAAATGTCCAATCAAATTTCTTCTTCACTTTTTTTTCAAGGAAACTGGTGGACTCAGTTTGTTTAACTCCCGCTGCAGTGGCTTTAAACCCACAGTAGTAGCCTGCAGGATCACACTTGTACACCTGAGGGCCTTGTTCTTCATCTATACCTATTAGGATCATACCTAAGATGAAAAGCAAGACCCTAAGTAAACATTGTGGACATTTAACACAAACACTTCCACTCTCATGGTGTAGTCACATAGGTGCTGACACGTGTCATTAATCATACTCTGACCACCCATTTTTAATGGGCTTTGCTTTAAGAAAATGGATATGCAAAATATCAAGGATGAACTAGGTAACAAAAGCATTTCTTTTTCACAAAAGGATTTATCACAGATTTTCAAGACAGTGTGAAATATACATATATATATATATAATATATGAATGCTGAACGGCAACTGGAAACCATTCCCTAAGAGTGTGACATGCACTTTAGTTCCCTGGCATCTTAGTAGGCCCTTGAGTTGAAGTCCTTATTCAAACTACGACGTGACTATTACGGTGGACACACTTAATGAGGGAAGCTGCCCTTCATCCTTACTGTGATTACTTTACTAAATAGTTCATACAAACACCAAATTATGTATATACAACTTTTTTACTATGACTCTAATGTTATCAGACAAGTCAAATTTCTTTCTAATCACCAGAGCATGTAACAAAGCATTTCAGTAAAGAAATGGTCTATCTTCTGCTTCCTTATATTCTAGATTTGATCTTTTTTGTAGGTGCCCTAACACAAGATTCAGTATTAACAAACTACTTTATTCATATTTATAAATGCTTCACAGTTTACAAATGAGGCATTTTCCGTTTCAGCTCACTGACTGGGCATCAGCGTGGTAGAGAATGCGTGGCACAGAGGAAGACCTTCACTGAGATGGATCGCCACAGTGGCTGCATCAGTGGGCTGAAACATGATGGAGAGGAGGGCCCAGGCCCAGGCAGGGCTCCGTTCTGCTGTACACAGGGTCGCCAAGAGTCAGAACGGACTCGATGGCCCCTAACACCACCACAGAGCAGTGATCAGAGAGCTGCTTAAGTTGACTGTTATGTCACCCTGTAATTTTGTTTTTCACATTTTATGTGATATCCAGTACTGCCTGAAGGAAGTAAGAAACACTTCTTTAGTGAAAGATCTTGCAAGAGAAATAGAGCAGTGAGTTAGTTTATTTTGCCAACCTGGCCAATAAACACATGTGGGGTTAATTGAAGGGGGGAGGGATAAATGGCTCGACGAGCCTTGCCTTTTGAGTTCTCAGGTCTCTTGCTTTGTGATGGTCGGACCAGGGTGCAGCTGCCTTAGCCAGTTCTCTGCTTCAGCTGGCAAGGCTCGCTTCCTGCAAGACATGCCCAAGGAGAAGCCACATGGACCTACCCCGATGCAGCCCTGGGGGCTGGAGACCCCTGCCAGTGCTGACATGCTTACACATTCACTGACTCAGCTTTCCTCCTGCAGTTGGCATCATTGCATGTGTTTTGTGAGATGGGGGAGGACTTTGTGGATTGGTGTCGGACATATGGGTTAATGTTGGACTTGTGGGCTTGGGCAGCACTGGGTTGGGATGTTTTCTTGATGTGCACTTAATTTAACCTTTATATAAAAGTCTCTCTTATACATGAGTTTCTGTGGATTTGTTTCTCTAAAATACCCAGACTAACACAAGTAGTAAGGCTGAGTAGGTGGTAAGGACATGAAGGGTAAAGGAGGTAAAGGCACAGAACACAAAAGGCACTGCGCATGAAAGGGCAGGATACACTCAGGGATGACAAGACAAGCTGTATATTGCAAGGGCTTTAGATCAAGGAGGACACTAATAGGAGACAATAATGGGACTAAACGGTGAAGGACCTTATACACCATAGTAAGAAGTTTGGAACATACCATATAGGCCACGAGGAATGAATATTTTTAGGGAACAAGAATAAAAGCTAGCTTTCAGCATGGCAACTCATATACCCATCTAGAGGACAGAGTAGGAAAGAGTGAAGAGAGAAGCAACAGGCACATTAGACACGCGGCAAAGGCAAATCAACAGAGAGATGACAGGAGTGATAAGAATAGGAATGCTTTCAGCTTAAGTATCTGTAGGTCTTGATGATCGGGCTAAAGTTAATCTGGAAATACTGACATCAAGATAGTAAATGGAGCCATGAAGTGGGTAAAAGCAACCAGACTGACAGAGGACTGACTCAGCATGAACTACATTTAAGGCATCAGCAGGCGAGGATGAGCTGAGAAAACTGTGTATAAGGAAAAGAGAGTATTATGAGGTAATCAAATGAAAACGAAGTTTTGAAGTGAGAGGTAAACAGATTCAAAGCTTAAAGGAAGACAGCAGGAATCACTGCCCAGTTCCAAGCCACTCTCGTGATCAGTCTGATGCCCAAGCCCATTGTTGCAGTCACCGTGTAGTCCGTCTCATTGAGGGCCGTCCTCTTTCCTCTGCTTTACCTGTATCCTGTCCTTCCAGGGACTGGTCTCTCCTGACAACATCCCCAAAGTATGAAAGACAAAGTCTGGCCATCTTTGCCTCTAAGTACAGCACGCTGGCTGTACTTCTTCCAAGACAGATTTATTGATTCTTTGAGCAGTCCAAGGCAATTTCAATATTCTTCCCTAACATCACAAATTCAAATGCATCGAATCGTCTTTGGTTTTCCTTAGACCGTGCCCAACGTTCATATGCATATGAAGCAATTGAAAATGCCATTACTTAGGGTCAGGAGCACCTTAGCCCTCAAAGTAAAATCCTTGCTTTTCAATACTCCAAAGAGGTCTTGTGCAGCAGATTTACCCTATGCAAGGAGTCTTCTGATCTCTTGACTGCTGCTTCTAGGAGTGCTGATTGTGGATCCAAGCAAGACAAAATCCTCAACAATTTTGATCTTTCTCCATTTATCATGATGTTTCCTTACCTACTGGTCCAGTTGTGAGGATTTTTGCTTTCTCTACACTGAGTTATAATCCATACTTAAGGCAGTAATCCTTATCTTCAGCAGCAAATATTTCAAATCCTCTTCACGGTCAGCATGCGAGGTTTGTGTCACATGACTGATGCTTCTAAGGAGCACTTTGGTTGTACCTCTTCCAAGACAGATATGTTGGCTCCTCTAGTAGTCCATGGTACTTCCAATATTCTTCATCAACATCGTAATTCACATGCAGATTCTTCTCTGGTCTTCCTCATTCAATCTCCAACTTTCACAAGCATATGAGGTGACTGAAAAACCATGGCTTGGGTCAAGCACAACTTAGTCCTCAAAGTGACATCCTCATTCTTTAGGTTGCTCAAAAGAAATAGTTAGATTGCCAAAATGTCTTAATGTAGGCATTCTGTGGTAGTTACATACTTTCATGTCACCTTGAAGATACATTAAAGTGGAGTCTAGTCTGTCAATCAGGTCACAGCCTGATGGTGACTCCTTGTGGGCATGACCTTCTCATAAGGAGGGTCATGGGAACCTCCCCTTCTTTCTCTGCCTTCCCCTCCACGTTGGCGAGTCACTCTGAAACCTGCCAGAGCCTTGGAGATGTGTCCACTCCATTGGATCCACAAGACTGCACCCACCAGCCGGTGCTGATGATATTTCTGCATTTGGCATCATTGTTTGTGACTGTGTGAATCTGAAGAGGGATTTATGGACTTGAGTTGGACTGGGCTGGGGTGTTTTTTGGATATACAATTACTTCTTGATATAAATCTCTTAAAGACACACATATGAGTATCACTGGATTACTTCTCTAGTTAACCCGGCCTAACACACATTGTCATAGACCCTCACAGCCATCGGGTTGATGCCTGCTCACAGCAGCCCTACAGGACAGGCTAGGACTGTGAGTTTCCAAGACTGTGGCTCTTTAGGGAGTAAAAAGCCCCATCTTTCTCGCCCAAAGTGGCTGGTAGTTTCAAACTGCAGGCTTTGTCGCAGCATGCTGACCGTGTAACCACTGAAGCACCTGAGCTCGTTCACAGCCCCAGTGATGTAGAATTGCAGGAGAGCACATCACCTTTCAACAGCCGCGTATGCTCTTCCAAACCACATAGTCCCAAATACAATTATCTTGGTAAAAGCCCACGAGCACCTAAAGTTTACAGAAACTGCCAGGTGAAACCCAGAATAGGTAAACCTATAGAGACAGGAACTGGATTAACGGTTTCTTGGGGCTGGGTAGGAAAGGTAGCGAGGAAATGAGGAACTAATAACCATGGATACAAGAAAGAAGAAAATGTTCTAAAATTGCTTGTGGTGATGACTGTGCAACTCTTCTTTTTAGAGTTAAACTACTGAATTGTATACTATGTGAATTATATGCCAACAAAACTTTTAAAAATAAATAAAATATACTGCCACTTGGGCTCATTCTAGGCACTCTAATTAAAAAAAAATTCCAAAACCATTAATGTTATCATCTCTGACTTATAATAAAGACTTCTTAACCTTATATAATTCACAAATTATTAATCAGAACCCAAGTGTTACTTCAACAATTTTTACATGCTCTTTTAAAACATCAAAATCCATCAATTATTTTGGAAACTCCATATACTTACAACAACCAAGAGGCCTCATTTCAGCATTCTGTGTGTAGACCTGAGAAATGTCTGCAATTCTTTTACATAGCATGTCCACAGGAATTTCATAGCCATACTTGTACTTCCAATTCGCTGCCTCATAGCGAGCTCTCTGTACCTGGGATCTGCTGTCAGCTGATCACATAAAAAAGCAAAGGGTTACTTGTTATTTTTAAGGGTTACTTTTTGAGAAGGAAAGGATGAACCTCAAAGTCAGACAGTTTCCCACCACATATTAATCCATTATGAGTTAAGGGGAAAAGAATGGTTTACATTAGCCTTTTCTCCCATTAATGACTCAGCAAAATAGACGTCTTAAAAAAAGGAGAGCATAGTTTGAGAGACTGCACTTTATGCCCTAGACTGTCCTTTATGCTGAGCACTTCATTGTTTCTGCAAGTGTTGAATAAGCCTCAAAAAGTCCCAAAAAAGCAAACTTCAAGGAGAATTTTAAGGCTTGAATTTGTCTTTCACTTCAGAAATAGAAGTATAAAGTATTTCTTATACATATCTATGAAGTGTCATAAATACAAGGTTTGAGATATTGAATTATCCTAAAAAACTCACTCCATCAAGGCAATGTCAACTCATAGAGACCTTGTAAGACAGGGTAGAACTACCCCTGTGGGTTTCCAAGACCGTAACTCTTCATGGAAGTAGAAAGTCCTGCCTTTCTCCTGAGGAGCAGCTGGTGGTTTTGAACTGCTGACCTTACAGTTAGCAGTCCAACACGTAACCACTGTGCCATCAGGGCCCCTATATTAAGTCCCCTAAAAATTTTAACTACATCTAAATTAAGATAAATCAGTGTTCCTGATAGTGGCAAAACAAAGCAAAAACATACTAATTACACTACATTTATAATTCCAAAAACGTTCACAATACTGAATCTTGGAAGACTGAAAGACGACTTGCTCATTAAGTCACTAAAACCAAACCCACGGCTTAGGTTGATTCCAACTCACAGAGACTCTATAAAGGACAGAGTCTAACTCTGTTCCAGTTTCCCAAGACTGTGAATCTTGATGGGAGAAGACAGCTCCATCTATCTTCTGCAGAGGGGCCTGAACTGCTGACCGTGAGGTTAGTAGTCAGTGCTAACCCCACAGCATCCCAAGGCAAAGGGGACTTTTAAATTAAAACAAAATGTCAAAAGTAATTTAAAGTAATATAAGGCTTGTACATCTAAGTCGTGTGCGAGTTGCTTACCTGTCATCCCTGTCATCACACAACCAATGTTTTCAGTTATCTTGAATAAGTGAGTCACTGTGCTGGAATCCAATAATTTGTCCTAACGAGCAAAATGAATCAAGATAATTTAAAAGAGGAAATAAAACCCTGTAATCCTTTGTTTAGCTCTTTAAAAAAGGCACAGCTATGTATCTATGACAAACTACATAATGAATGTCTTCAATTTATTTTATAATTCAAATCAGTTTCAAAAAATATTTAGGGAGGCTGTTTTCCCTTGATAAACAATCTGTTCCCTCTGAGTGAGAGTTGTATCTCATCCAAGCTTGTCTCAAGGCAAAACACCTTGAGATCCCATTGTGCTTATAATTGTACACTAATGTTCAATACATTAAACTGTATGCCAATGTTCAATACCTTGGTTATACTAACAAATGCATATAGACAGATACTCAATAAATACTTCTTGAACGACAAGAAATGTTGTCAAAGCAAGCATTGTTAATTTATATAGGTTATAATACATCTTTGTGCAAATGCAAGAAAACTTCTTTTATTATAGTCCACAAGAATTGCCTATTTGGATAGTTTTACTTACAGGTACTTTCTTCTGTGTGACAATTACTGCACAGTCTTTCCCCCTGACAGCTACTGATGTAAGGCCACCTTGATTAATAGCCTTAAAAGCATATTCTGAAAAAGAGAATAGTATTTTTTGTTTTTAAAGTAGATTACATATGTTTATACAACAAAATAAAAGTCATTAAAAAGAATGAGGCAGAGACAAATGAACTGATATGTTATGTCAGCCAAGACAAGTTACCCAAACCAAGTGGAAACTATAATCTTCAGGAAAGAAGAGCATCAAAATTGGCAAATATCTGAAAAACATAAAAGATCGCTGCTTTCCTCTGTGTCACTTATGAGTGATGAATTATAACAGTCTTAAGGAATGTGAAGGAATGTAGAGGTATCACAGCAAAAGAGGGAGTAAACAGATTTAAAAGGTCTCAGGGTTTTTACCTTTTACACGGAACATCTGCTTGGCCAATAAATCCAAGGGACTGTTCCTCTCTCCCTTTGCTAGCTCTACCCAGAAAATGAATAGCTAGCTTAAGAGGGAAGCCTGAAACTAAACAGGATTAATTTGCCCACCAAGGACTATTTCCCCACTGGTAACCTAGGTGAAAGTTCCAGAAATTCGATTTTCAGCTAGGTGGTCTGTATATTGTTCTCCAAGGCTTTAAAGCACACGTACTGCATAAGCATGTTAAGAGAAATTTTTCAATAGCTACCAAAGGATATATAATGGCCAGTCAAAAAGTATTATTGCAATTCATAGATCTCTTTATTAAACAAAACATAAGACTATGAAGTGAATATTTCTTGACATACTCTCCCATCTAGCTCTAAACACTTCTGAAAGGAGTGTTTCCATCTCTTTAACCGGTTCTCAGAGAATTCTGCACTCTAGGGATTTATATGCTGTCAAAAACAGAAGGTTGGGCATTCCTTTTTTTAAAAAAATCATTTTATTGGGGGTTCATACAACTCTTATCACAATTCACACATACATCCACTGTTAAGCACATTTGTATATTTGTTGCCAATATCATTCTTAAAACACTTGCTTTCTACTTGAACCCTTGATATCAGCTCATTTTTTCCCCTGGCTCACGAACCTTTGATAATTTATAAATTATTATTATTTTGTCATGTCTTACACTGTCCGACGTCTCCCTTCGCCCACTTTTCTGTTGTCCGTCCCCTAGGGATGTGGTTATATGCAGATTCTTGCAATCAGTTCCCTCTTTCTACCCCACCTCCCCTCCACCCTTTCAGTTATCAACACTTTCAGCACTGGTCCTGAAGGGATCATCTGTCCTGGATTCCCTGGGTTTCCAATTCCTTTATGTACCAGTGTACATCCTCTGGTCTAGCCAATTTGTAGGGTAGACTTGGGATCATGATAGTGGGGGGAGGAATAAGATAGGCAGGATAAACAATCTGAAGAAGCAAACAATGGGACCAACGGTTCCAGGGGGACATGGGAGAGGGGGAGGTGGGGGAAAGGAAGTGGTGTTAACAAACTTAGGGACAAGGGAACAACAAGTGATCCAAAAGCGTTGGCGAGGAGGGTGTAAGAGGCCTGGTAGGGCTTGATCAAGGGCATGTAACCGAGAGGCATGTAATTGATGCCTTGATAAAGGGCATGTGTTATTAATCTAGATACTTTGGAGAAACAAATCCACGGCGACTCACGTGAGAGTTTTATGTAAAGAAAAGGTGCATCACGAAAACATCCCAACCCAATGCTGCCCAAGCCCACAAGTCCAACATTAACCCATTAACCCAAC